CCCCAAAGATGACAACATATGATACGATGGAAGTCTCAGGGTGAAATACAGAAGATAATTCAGCCTGCTTGTCCTTGTTTGATAAAAAGGTGTATTTTTTAATAATTTTTATAGACGTTAACAAGCATAGCAACAAAATTTGCAAACACTTCTGTAACTGAGTCCAAACTCATTCTGCTCACCACGCCACAGACCAGTAAATCGGGGGACATGGTATTGAGGCAAGGAATAACAACTTTATTCAGAAAGGCAGCAGGCTGAGAAGATAGCAGACTAGTGTCCCAGAGAACCATCTTCCCCAAGTCAGAACTCAGGCTTTTTTTATACTAAAAAGGACAGGGGAGACGCTTGGTTCTTGCAAACTTCTTGGTGTAGGAATTCTTTGTTCTTGGAATCCTTTGTTCTTGCAGCTGTCCATGTGGTGTCTGATCATGGTGTCTCTGTAAACCTCCAACAAAACAAACGTTATTTTCTACTCTGCAGCTTGTTATCTTTATATGAATGGGAAAATGTTCATATCCTCTCAGAACCTTGCGAATGGGCTATCCTATATATTTCCGGCTCTAGGCAACATTTTTTTAACAAAAGGTGAAGGTGCAGAACCAGCAAGTCTAGGCTCAGGAAGCAGAGCACAGGGTTCGAGCCAAAGCAACAGATCTAATATGAAGTCAGATTTGTTCTTTTCTATTACATTTCCACTTTCCTTTCTTATTCTAGACCCTCCAAATTCACTTATGTTATGCATGTTCATATTTCTGATGAAACAGCAAAAATGAAATTTTTTTGATCCAATAATTCCACTTGAAGGAATCCATCTGAAGGGAGGAAAATCATAAAGGCAGCCAAAATATATATGCAAGGCTATTTATAATAGCAACAATTAGAAATAACCAAGCTACCCAGGAATAAGGATGTTATTAATCTGTATTAGGTAAAACCATAATAAATACTTACAATGACTATTACATAATCCTCAAAAATGACACATTTCAAGACTATTTGACAGTAGAAAAATGTTATGGAGTGGAAAAGTAACATTGAAAAAACCGCATGACAACGATCCTAATCATGTGTGTTTTATTTTTCTCAACAAAATTCATGTATGTTAGCTAAAAAGACTGGAAGAAATAACGCCAAAATATTTGCTGCAATGGGCTTTTCAATGAGTTTCTGTTTTCTTCTTCATAGTTTTCCTAATTTCCTTTATTATTATATTGTTTTTGTATAATCGGAAAAAAATCAGTAGATATGATATGTAATCACTGAAACAAAACCAGACAATGACCGAGCAACACCTCTTCATTCCTCAACCTGGTTTGAGGTTCAGAGAAGTGGCTGGATCTTCTGACCCAAAGTATATTTACTGGGGTGGTGAGAGGGTGTTACTTGGAGCCGTGGGACAAGGTGGAGGATGGGTGTCACAGTGGCAAATACTCTAAGAAAAAAAATCTTTTATTGAGAAGTGATTTGCTTCATATTCTGCGAGCAGCTTCCAGCAGGTAACAGAAATCTGTTTTCCCTAAGGAAGTTCTACTTCAGGACTAGCTAGACATCCCTCTTGTATTCCTGACAGCCCCGTTCTCAGCCATTATTCCCTCCTGCAATTTCTGCTCTAATCTCTTCACAAAACCCCCTTGTTCCATAAAGGTGTTCATTTCTCTCTGGGTCTATCTCATTTGCTGTGTGTTTACTATGACAGTTTCTGTGCCTTCTACATCCAGTCGGAAGTCTGGGAATCTGGTCTTAAGGTAGAAAAGAGTGTTTGAAATGTTTCCTGTCCTAGGAAGTCTTACACCCCTAAGGACTCTCTGGATTGTGATTCAATGAGTTTATTTAACATGATGAAGATAAAGTTGATGATGGTTCTGACTACGATGATGGAGAAGTGTCCAGTTTCAGTACCTGTGAAATGAGGACATGTCCATTTCACAGGGTTTGGGGGAAGAAGGTAATTAGCTGATTGAATATAAAGCCCGTAACAATGTCTGGCAATGAATAATTTGTAATAGTTTATGTCCCATTAGGGTAGCTAGTTCCTAGAAAATGGACTGAAAGGAATAAAGTAACATATAGCAGTGCCAGTACAATGCCCGTGGACTCACAGATGAGCAGCACCACCGGGCAGGCTCCAGCCAGACTGCTTGGGTTTGAATTCCCTCCTTGTGAAACATCGATGGAGTGACTTCATTTCTCCATACCTCATTTTCTCTACATGTGAAGGGGGATTGATAACAGTCCCTGTTTCATAAGGTTGTTGAGAATTATGCCAAGAGGTTTAGAGGATGCCAGGCAAACAGTGGTCACTGTATGAGCTACGGTAAATATCTTTTTATTCTGCCTTGTTTCACAGTAACACAAAGAAATTGCCTAGAATGCAGCACTGCCTGCTCTGTGAAGTTCCTGGGATGCCCAGAGTTACCGGCCCTCTGCAGCACGCTTCCTTCACCCAGGGCAGTTCTTTACACATCCATTTCCCTCGGTCCTTAACTCATCGAGATCCTGGCTGTGCCTTATTCATGTTTGTGTCCCCAGAACCTAGCACTCCATCCATGTTTCACAAGGAGGGAATTCAAACCCTGTAATGTCTACACTGAATATTTAATACCATTAAACAGGCTACAACACTTAACCGAGTATGGACAATGGATTTTATTAATGTTAAGTTGTTTTATTAACACCAGCTCCAACACACACACGAAGTGTACCCTTTAGGGAGATGTTGGAAGAAAGGCCACATTTTTGCCTCAAGCATTGAAAAGTGTTAATAAATCTGAATTCAGATGCAATTTTAAGAAAATTTATATAAAATTGTTAGACTTTTAGTAATTAAAATTCCATCACTTACTCATTCCAGAGACATGCCTATTATTCCAATTTGAGCTACTAAGGAAACCTTAAGCAGACGCTATTTGACCAGTTACTTCTAGCTGCTAAGACTATAAACAAATATCCAATGCTTATAGCTCATCAGTACATCCTGGTAGATGGAACAGGAGCCCCAAGAACACAGCCAATGACGACATGGGACTTCCAGGCTTGGAGCCTTGGATTCTGGATCAGGGGACCCTGAGGAAGTCACAGCACCTCTCCAGGTCTGATTCCCTTCTTTGCAACGCGATAGGGCGGACAAACC